CCCAGGCAAATGTATACAGTAAGTATAAAAAAGTCCTGAGGAGGGCTTATTTACAACTGGAAATTTATACCTTTTGAGCCCCTTCACCCGTTTCATGCACCATCCCCCCAACCCCCTGCCTCTGGCAACAACTGATCTGCTCTGTTTCTCTATGACGCTGTTACTTCAGTTGGGTTTGGGGTGGGGGGGCAGTGTTAGAATCCACATGTAACTGAGGGCATCCAGTATTTGTCTTTCTCTGTCTTATTTCACTTAGCACAAAGCCCTCAAGGTCCATCCATGTTGTTGCAAACGGCAGGATTTTCTTCTTTTTTTATGGCTGAATAATACCCTCTCATCTTTTCTTATTTGCAAAAGTTTCCTCATGGGTCCCCCTGCCTGCAGTCTTCATCCTTCCAAATCCACTCTGCTCAACAGCCCATCCCCTAGAACCAAGGGATTTTTCAAAAACACAAAACTGACTGTGCTGCTCCCCTTGCAATTCTTAAATAGCACCTCCACCCCTTCACATCCTGACCCCCTGACCCAGGCCTCCACCTCCAGTCTCACCACCCCCACCAGGTCCTTCCAGCGTCCACCCTCGGGCCCCTGGACACTTACAAGGTCCCCACATCCACCGTCATCTCACGTCTAGAACACACTTCTCCCCATCTTGACCAACTCAGTCATTTCTTCTGGAGGAAACTCCCTGACTCCCCTCTTCCTCCATCTCTAACTGCAGCTGATCAGCCCCTCCCTGGTGGCATTAACCTTACCCTTCTGGTCTGTCACAGCTTCCTTTCATGTCTCTCTTCCTCTAGAGGAAAAACAAGGTCTTTATTCCCCTTGGTATCACTAGCACCTGGACTGTGCCTGTCTCAACAAACACACGGTGAATCCATTATGAGGATGCAGGCAGGGTACCGTTCACAGTTTCCAGAATTTGTGCTAGGTTACGAGGGGCTGAGTTGTTCCAAATCTGTAAGTTCTTTAATGTCGGAAATTAAATTGTAAGTCATCTGTATCAAATCTAATACTAGCTCCAAATTAGTTGTTTCCCTTTACCGTGAGCTATTTGAATTGCCCTATTTAATGAAACAGGCTATGCAAACAGGAAGGGAGTTTAAGATGTTTATCTTTGAGAGAATCTTTCCTCCCCCTCAGGCAGCTCTTCAGCTCTTCTTTTTGATTCCAGCGCCTTATACAGAGCAGCTGCTCAACCCGTATTTACTACCCGCGTTCTTTCCGAAGTGACATGGAGTTTCTCCTGCCGCCCCCCCGGCTCCCTGGTTGAACGTCTGTCCTCTTGTCCTCCCAGCCTCCCCTGGAAAGCACAGATCTTCCATCCTCTAATAGCTTCTTTCCTCCTACTGAGGTTTGTTCCTCTGCTCAATAAACATTCACCGGCCTTTGGCAATTTGCCTGGCAGTGTGCTGGGCACCACAAAACTAAAGAGTGACCAGAACTCATCGCCCTGGTTTTTTTCCCACAAGCCTCATCCTATCTCACTTTCAATATTCATTTGGCGGGAGAGGGGATAGCTCAGTGGTAGAGCCTCCCAAAAAAATAAAATAAAATAAAATGCATTTGGCTCTCCCAGGCCTCTGGGCTGTCATGGCCTCCGGGTCAATCTTTTCACTCCCCCAGGATGGAGGCACCTGACTCGGAATCCTCCTCTGGATTCCCCCACACTGATGATGCCCTGAGGGACTCAAACACCCGCGAGCACAACCTTGGCCTCATGGTTCCTTGCATGTTGTTCCAACAAGCACCCCACCACTGACAGACCCTGACATTGTGTCCCACGAGCCCTGGACCCCACTCTACAAGAACAGCCTCCTAGCCGCTCACATCTCACTCCTTCGCCCTTCAGACAGGTGGGCACCGAGGACGGCAGGCACACAGGGCCCGGCAGGAGCTCGGAGCCCGGGGCCTGCCTGCCCTCCCGTCCCCCACAGGGGCTCACCACCTGCCTTCCACCCGTTGTGAGCGGCCCTGCCCCTGGCCACTGGACGCCTTACCTCTGCCACCCTCTCCCCTGCTGTCCCCTGCTTCTACCCTCCTTCCCCCAATTTGTCTCTTCCGCTGGTGGTTTTCCCACAAATACTGACCCTTAGAGAGACACCTCTGCACAGTCAGTCAGCAAAACCCTTATGCCTGCCAAGCGTAAGTGAGTCAATTACTAATTCATTAATTCAGCCAAGATATGATCTCCTTTGAAGCATTAGATACTGTTCAACCTGCTGGGGATACAGCAGTGATCAGGACGTGTGAGGAAGGAGGGAGACGAGACACAACAAGGAAACAAAAACAAGGAGTCCCACTGCATTGGGCACCTTGAAGAAAACGGAGGGCCAGGAAGACTGGGCAGTGGGAGGGGAGGCGGAGGCTGCCATTTATGCAAGCGACTCAGAGGTGAGCTGGGGTGCGATGTGGACAGAAACTGAAGATGGCCAGGGAGTGAGCCATGCCCTTAAGCGGGCAGAGCATTCAGGGAGAGGTGACAGCAGCACAGAGACCCTGAGGTGGGGGTTTATCTGGAGTGTTTCGGGACAGCCAGGAGACTCCAGGAGCCGAAGCAGAGGGAGCCCGGAGGGGAATGGAGGGAGTGAGACCAGGGAAGAAGCACAGAGTGGGGTCATGCTGGTCACCCTGAGGATTTGCGCTTCTACTCTGGGTCACGTGGGAAGCCACTGGAGGGCTTTGAATAGACTGGTACCGAAAAGTAACAACCTCACTTGTGTTTTTAAAGGATAATTCTGGCTGCTGTGTGGGCACAGAGGGAAGGCGGGCAAGGGAGCGCCACCTAGGAAGAATGAATGGATGGCTGTAATATTCAAGAGGAGGTGTTGGTGCCCTGGGCCAGAGTGGTGGGGGCAGAGGTGGTGAGAAGTTGCTGGATTCTGGTTGGTTGTGGAGGTAGATCCACCAGGATTTGCTAATGGAAGGGATGGGGGACATGAAGGAGAGTCAAGATGACCGGAGTTCATACACATCATCTTTCATCATCAAGATCTGAAGTATGTCTACTGCTGCAGGTGGCTCAGCGACTTGTTCTTGGATCTCAGAGAGCTCTGGTTGAGTGTTTGAGCCAGATGTCTATTTACTCTAGAAGAACCCATCTGCAGGTAGCTGAGGATTGCTATTGCACAGTCTCTTCTCATGCGCTCAGTTTCTATATTTCCTTCTCAGATACCTTCAGTAACTTTCATATTGTTTAAGCAAGCAATGGATTAAGGTCTATGCTTTTCATTAGAATGTATGGCATTTTATTTAACTTCATGATTTTACCTTTATTCCCAGCTCTAAGCAACATGAATGCCTATATGTTTCCAAGCAGAACAGGGATTAAATGAATACAACGTACCACTTCCTCCACGATGGCAGGACCTTTCGGTCTCAGGCGAAGTGTCTCCCTTCCAGTACCAATGTTTCCTGTTGACGACTTTCCAGCTTTTGATCTTGGCTCTATTTCTAGAAACATACAATGGATAGGGACAGGTACATATATTCAGAAAGAATTCCAACCAATTGCTATAAAAGCTAATGTAGTTTCCATCACAAATTTTTGTAGTTATTGCAGAGATGTGATAAAAGCTATGCCTTCTGATAGAATTGCCCAGGACAAAATAAATCCACCCGTCACCCATTATTCTCATACGAGAGTCTCTACGAGAGGTCTGGCTATGAAAAGAAAAGCGGCTGTGTGAAATGTATACATAGGAAAGACGATGTTTTAAGGATTAAAGAAAAAACAGTTGGTTTTGTTCTAAGAGTAAATACGTGGCAGGAAAGCGGAGGTAGATGTTCAGCTGGACTTCATCAAGGTCATGAAGAAGGGAGTCATTTCTTGATAGAAGAGAGGGATGGAGGCATCATTACTTGAGTACCAACGTTTTGCGTGATGCTTTAAATCCAAAATCCCATTTAATTCTCGAGTTAACCTATGAGGCAAGTTAGAGCTGCCATTTTCAAGAAAAGGAAATTGAACTGAGTAAGGATCAGAGCTGGGATTCAAATCCAGCTCTCGTGATTCCAAAGTCTGTATGTTTTCCTCAATGACACTTCACCACCACACCTTTTGGAAGCACAAGGGATAAATTCAGAGGCAATGGACCAGAAGAAGCAGGGTCCTCGAGAAGCTGGGAACAGGTCCCAAGGCAGGAGGCCCCCTAGAAGGCAGGAGAGAGCAGGGAGCGGGAGTCCACAGGGAGCCGCATTCTCCTAAGCTTGTTTCCTACATGTGTGTTTTATTTTGGTTTTTGTTTCTGCAGTATACCAAGAGTCACCTGCCAATACCAGACAGTCACATAAACGAGGGAAAGTATAGGGTGCGAACTGAGGATAATTCCAAGGAGGGCACCCTATCTAAGCTCCTCCAATAATTCCCTGCCCTGTGGGAATGTAGACCCTGCAAGCCAGATCTTCTATTTGTTCGCAAAGAACAGATACTCAAGAGTTTTACATGAATCTCCTGAGTTTCAACTTAAGGCAACTAAATCAAAGTTTTAAAAACAACGTGATGGCAAAGATAAAAGACTTGTGGGTCAGATCCAGTCACAGGCCACCAATTCATAACTTCTGCAAACATCTCCCGAGTCTCCTTGACTGAGGACTCTGTGGCAGCAGTTTGGGGCAAGGATGGAGGTGGGAGAGGGGAGATGCGGCACCAAGACCTGGAGATAACTGAGCTCCCGTGCAGAATCACAGGGCAGGCTGGTGCGTGAAAGTGTACAGAGCTCTCAAGATGCGGACATCAGCAGACCTGTATGAATGCATCCTTCCTTAGAATCTAGGATAATTCCCGTCTTCAAGTTCTGCTTCGCTATTGGGAATCTACTCCGAGGGGACTGAGGATTTTTAACCTGCATTTGAGGACAGAATTGCCAAAACAAGCTTTCCTCCAAGAATGAAATTATTAAAAATTATCATGCTACAAATAGAGCAGTTCCCCTAAGCCTAAACCTCTGGATGGTGGCCAACGGAGCTTATGCTGATCATGATGAGCAGACAGATGCTCGGGAGACTAGAGCTGCATCAGCAAGTCTGCAGCATTCGCCTTGCCGGTCACACCGCGTCCCATCTGAGGGAAGAACACATTAATAGAAACAAGATGCTCACTCAGCACAGAGTTTCCAAAAGAAAATCCAAAGAAAAAGATGAGGTCAGTCTGTCATCAGCACTGTCCAGGATTCTGCCCTGCCCGGCTTAGAGTCACGTGCAGACCTACAGTGGTCACAAGAGCCTCAGTTTAATGACGCTAACCTTCCAGGTAAACAACCTGACAACTCCCACCCCCGCCCACCACACACACCACCCACTGTGATTTCTCCAAGCAGCCTGCTCCCTATAACTTGTCTTCCCGTGTACGTTGCCGGCAGGGTGGGAAGCGAACTGCTCAGCCTGGTCCATCACCGCGTGTGCATTGCTGATTGCAGAGTAACACACTGGCTCTGTGGCTTAGCAACAAGTCTTCTCTAAGTTTGTTAAGCATGATATAATCCTGGAAAATGGAACAAGTCCGGATACACTTCACAAAATAAAAAGCTTCTGGGATTTACAAGGCTGAGGACCCAGACGCTGGAACGTGGGAACTTCATGGAGGGGTCGTTGCCCAGGCTTGAGAAGTTCAGCCAGCCTCCCTAGACGACGCCTCTAGCTTGCCTTGCATTTCCTCAATGCAACACCAGCAGCTAAAAGGGAAAATGTAATGGAGAATGGAAAAGTTTTCCTTTTAACAAGTTTTATTTTTTAAAGCAGTTTTCAGTTCACAGCAAAATTAAGAAGATAGACCTCCTGGAACCTGCATCACGTTCCCGCTATAGACGCCCCCACCACGGTGGCACACTGGTTACAGCCAACAGGCCTGGACGTCATCATCACCCGAAGTCCACAGTTCACATCAGGGTCCATGCTCAGTACTGTACATCCTATGGGTTTGGACAAATGAATGACATGGATCCACCATCACAGTAACATACAGAGTAGTTTCCTTGCCCTAAAAAACCTCTGTGCTCTGCCTATTCGCCTCAGATTTTTTTTTTTTCTTTATGTGTTTGTCATCTTCTCTTTGAGAGTGTTATCTCAAAACTAACCACTTGGTGGCATCAAAATAAAAGTTAAAATTTAAGTTCTGGCTTGGCCTGGCCTCCAGAAAGACAGCTTTTCAGGGCTAAAGGAACAGAAGCCATGTTCCTCTGAGATCCTGTGATTCTGGGACGTCAACCTTCCGGTTTATACAGGAAAACAGGCAGAAAGGACCTGTTCACCTGCAGGGGTAAAACATTTCACGGTTTTTTTTTGAAGATGGCAAATGATTTTGGTCTGGCCTACTTTTTTTAGGGTGCTGGCCTGTCTAAGCATGTCTAACCAATCAGGCCAAGCTCAGTCAGTCACTGCACTTCTCAAGAATGGACATGCATAAGGCCTCTCTTGGGGCTGAATAATGAGAGGTTTGCAGCTCTGACAGTAGACAGGTAGCCAGACTCGCTAGACTCAGGGCTTCCACTCCTGTGTCACTTGGGGCACAAGACGCTCACGGCCTGCAGGTGCACAGCTGCTCCCACAGCTGAGTCGGACGTCACCAAGGAGCAGTCACATTTCTTCCCAAACCCTTTTGTGGCTATTATATTTGTGACTCTAATTGTGTAATTGAATTTAGAAATGTGTGAGCTGATGAAATAAGCGTGAAACAAGGAGTTATTATTGCTAAGAAAACTAGGTTAACTGCTTTGGAAAGATTCCATAAGGGCAAGTTGCTGAAAAAAAAAAATACATGTGGGCAAGATGATGCTAGGAGATTAGGAGAAAAAAAGTCTTTAAACACCCAGCATTTCACACATCTGGCTTTTAGATATAAACAGAACCCATAAATATGGATTAAGGTTGTGATTATATAAGACTTCACAGAACTCTAACTTGTGTCTTCTACTCCAAGAAGAATAAAGAATAGTAAAAGAATGCATATTTATATGCATATTTATATGTTTTAAAATAAAATGTTTAGAAGGGAGGGTATAGCTCAGTGGTAGAGTGCCTGCTTAGCATGCGCAAAGTCCTGGGTTCAATCCCCAGTACCTCCATTAAAAAGAAATAAAAAATAAAAAATGAAATGAAATGTTTATTTACACCCGTATCGTTCTTTATGATACCCCATTTTAACTGGCATGTTCAATAAGCAGGCCAAGCCCCAGTCCCGGCTACGTCGTAAAGGGCAGTGGCGGCTTCACCGGAACGGAGAAGGCAGCAAGCTGTCTGTCTGTCTCCAGCCCCGCCCGGGGCCCTGGGGAAAGAAGGCGGCGGACAGCAGCCCAGCCTTCAGGAGGAGCCCATGCACCACAGCTGAGACCCCCACCTGACACAGGGTGACAGTGGTGAGGCGGGGTCTCCTGCTCCTGCGCAGAACGAGGCCTGGTTCTGGTCCCACGAGGGCCCCAGTTGGCCTGGAGTACAAATCACAGTTTAACAACAAGGATTGACTGTGTAGGGAACTCTATTATATTTACAGGGAACTATATCCAATCTCTTGTTACAACCTATGATGGAAGAAACCAATCTTTAAATGATCACAGCGGGGCAGAGCTGTGATTTCCATGAGAGGGGAGCTCAGACGGACACAGCTGTATCCAACAGCTGGATACCAGAGAACAGGAGATGGACCTTAGGATCCAAGACACTGAGTTAAAATCCCAACTCCTCCATTTGCAAATTGTGAGAACTTGAGAAATAAGTCCTTATGTGCATAGTAACACCTACAGACGGTGGGTTTGAAGCATTCAAAGGGCTGCCGGGTGAAGGGTGCTTTGCCCAGGGTCTGACTCAGAGAGCGGCTCTGTGCTGCTGCCGCTGCACCTGCTGGTGCTGATTCGGTCCAGCCTGCTCTTCCCACCGCCTTCCCATCAAAACCCTTTGCACCGCTTTTCTCTCTGAGAAACATGCCAAGTCTCTCTTCACAACTCTGTTACCGGATAGGTACTACCAGTCTAATTTTACAATTAAAGTTACACTTGAGGCTTGGAGTTTTATATTTTTGTTTTGTTTTGGGGGGAGTGGTAATTAGGTTTACTTATCTATTTTATGTTTAGAGGAGGTACTGGGAATTGAACCCAGGACCTTGTGTATGCTAAGCATGCGCTCTACCACTTGAGCTGTATCCTCCCCCCGCCCCCAGGCTTGGCGTTTTCACCAAGGTCATTGGTAGAACTGGCCCTGATACCCCCGAGCCACCACTTGACTTTGTGTTCTGTTGATGAGTGTGAGCTGCTATTGGTAACAGACATTAGAAGACATGACTGTCTTCTAATGTCTGCATGTGGTCATTTGAGGATCATGGTGGTTCAGGGGAAGCTGACTGCTCCCAGTTTCAGGGATGGACACACGTATGGGCCAAGCTAACATCACAGTGATTGTTTCAGAGGTGGGCATGTAAGCAAAGAGAGTTATGTCAGAAAAAAACTAAGGACTTTGGCTAGAAA